TCTTTTTATCTTTTAAATATTTTATTTATTCTACAGAGAGAGAGACAGCGAGCAAGGGAACACAAGCAGGGGGAGTGGGAGAGGGAGAAGCAGGCTTCCTGCCAAGCAGGGAGCCAGATGCGCACTAGATCCTAGATCATGACCTGAGCTGAAGGCAGACGCTTAACAACTGAGCCACCCAGGTGTCCCATTTGACAAAGTTCTTAAGTGAGTTTGCATATTATTGATTTACTTTGTCTTAACACTTTAATAGCACATACACAATTACTATTCAAAGCATGATGAATTATAATTATGCTTCACAGATGTTCAGGAAAAATTAAGAACTGTAGTGATTTGGGGTTGAGTTGCCATGCAGAAATTCTAATCCCTTTGACTCTTTACATTTCTCTTAAAAATAAATCTTTTTAGTATTTAGATGTCCAAATGCTTAGGCAACACTAAATTTTGCCTAAATTCTAACTAAATAAATAGGATAGACAGACTTATTAAAATTTGACTGTAAATATGCAGAAAATGTAACATGTCAAAATGCCACTTAATTAATTTCTACTGAATGACCATAGCAGTACTTCTTATGCAGCAATGTACATATGAATCAACTGGATCTTATTAAATTGCAGATTCTGTTTCAGTCTGGGGTGGGGACTGGGATTCTGTATTCCTAACAAATTCTCAAGTATGCTACTGATCTTGACAACTTTGACAACGGACTAGAAAGTAATATTAAGTGTTGTGAAGACAAATGTAGGCCGTCATACAAGCATCTGGACAAAAAGTGAGACAATCATCCATATACTCCCTGGTTTTCTCATCATACATTACACAGAGGTGGGCTTGCTTCCAAGTGGATTGGATGTTTTGGTTTCATGCCTTTCCTCTAGGAAAATAATGAAATGCAATCTCAAAACCAAAATGGATGAACCAAGCCTTCCCAAGAGGAGATGCAGGTATAGAAAACTGTGGGAGCTTTGGAACTCAAAGGATCTGGGTTAGAATTCTGGTTCTAGTTACTACCCAGTGGCCTTGGGCAAGCCACATATGTTTTCTGAATGGTTGATTTTTATCTCTAAAGAAGAGATAATAATAGCAGTTGAGTAGTTTAAGTTTCCAGACACAGATCTAAGTATTTCAAGTGTATTATTTCATTTCATCTTTATAACTGTATGAGATAGGTACTATTATAAGCTTCATTTCATAGAGTAGGAAATTAAAGACAGAGAAGTGAAGTAAAATACTCAAAATCACAATGCTAGTATATAGTATAAGTGGCATTCAAAGTCTAGCAGTTTAACTCCACATCCCACTCTTAACCACTATGCCATGTTGCCATTGCAGGGCTACTGTCAGCATCAAAGCTAATTAAGAAATAGAGGCAGTCAGGTGCAGTAGATGGACATCAAAATATCTCCTTTAGAAGCTAAGAAGCATAGTTGGAGGACCCTAGGCTTGCCTGGTTCCTCAAGCATAGCTAGATAACTAACAAATCATTCGGAATACCCAATAAATTGACCTGAGGACTGATAGAACAAACTGCACAACTAGAGGGAGAGAAGAGGCCACATAGAGAAAGGTAGGAAGTGGGAACACATGGTTTGGGGGAGAAATGGATTGTGGGGGCAACTGAAAGGAAGGAGCCCTGGTCATGGAGAAAGGCAAGAGACAGGGGAGCACACAGGTAAACACACAAGGACAATACATCCTTAAAGGCATTGGCTGGGAAAATGACAGGGGATTATTTTTGTGAGTTTTTCCAACCAGCAGGGCTCAAATACTGGAGTTTTAGAGGTCTCTTGGTTTGGCTGGGATGGAGACCTAGGGTTGCTGTCTTATTCCTGGAGAGGAGGCAGGCATGAAACTCTGGGGCAGACTGCACAATCTTTGGATCACCAAAGGTGCACAGGGAGAGATTTTTCATACTTTTTGAAGCCCATCGGTAAGAGATGGCATTGCCTCTCTAGGGACAAAAGAATCATTTCCCTCCCCCGCCCCTCAACATAGGTGCAGAGGCACCTGCTGAGGGTGGCTAACCCAGACACTGGCTGTTTAGCCTGCTTTGCCCCAAATCCCACATCTCTGCTTTCTGGCACACTTGTTCTTCTAGGTCAAACATGCATCAGTCCTAGTGCAGCAAGACCCTTTCCCAGAGAACCAGTGTAGGTCCCCACCACACAAGGTCCCTGGTGTTTGGAATTGTAAAATTCAGCAGGTATGGATGGGATAGACTTCAAGGTGTACAGCACTGCTCTAGGCAGGCAAATGACACAGAGACAGACAGTGTGAAATCAGCAATCTGAAAAACACATAGAACTCATGAGGAAAAATTATTCCCTCCTCTGAATGTGCTTCCCTGAGAGCACCAAGCACGGACTCCCTTCTCAGGAAAAAAGAGCTCACTGGCACCATTTCCCTCCCCCATTCCTCAGCACAAACCGAATTCAGTAAACAGCACAGTGCCAACACTAGCAGACTAACCTGCTTATACCAAGTCCCATGCCACTGTGCTCTGCTGGTTCTGCTATTCTTGGGAAACTGTGCCTAAGGACCAACAAAATAGGCCCCTTCACCAGAAGACCAGCACAAACCTCTACATGCATCATGTCCACTGAACATAGAGTTCTGCAAAGCTTCAGTTCTAGTGGAAATAGCACCAGGTCTCTTTTAACAAGCCAACCAGGCCACACATAGTTTAAACCCACCACACTCTGGCCAAGGTCCAAATACTGCCCACTGCAGGCAAGGAGAACCTCTGCAGACTAGTGACCTGAGGGATAGAGCAGCCAAATACAGCAGCAGAGTACACTCAGCACACACGAGAGACACTTCCTGAAGGCCAGGCCTAGGATATTATATGACCTCTTCTTCATAAAGCTATTACTCTCAGAAGCAAGAAACATGACAGGCTTTTCTAGTACACAGAAGATAAAGACCTAGACAAAGTGCCAAAATAGAGGAATTCATCCCAAAAGAAAGAATGAGAAAAGGTCATGGCCAGGGATCTAATCAAAACAGATATAAGTAATATGACTGACAAAATTAAAGCAACAATCATAAAGATCAATAGCTGGACCTGAGAAAAGCATGGAAGACACCAGGGAGACCCTTACAGCAGAGACAAAAGAGCTAAACAATCTGGCCAAAATGAAAAAATGCAAAAACTAAGATTCAAAACCAAGTGGATATAATGACCACAAGGATGAAAGAAGCAGAGAAACAAATAAGTGATATAGAAGATAGAATTATGGAAAATACAGAAGCTGAACAAAAGAGAGAAAGAAAAATTGGGGATCATGAGAGTAGACTTAGGGAACTCAGTGATTCCATCAAATGTAATAACATTCATATCATAGAAGTCCCAGAAGAACAAGAGAGAGAAAAGGGAGTAGAAGGTTTGTTTAAGGAAATTATAGATTAAAACGTGTGTAATCTGGGGAAGGAAACAGACATCCAAATCCAGGAGGCACATAGAACTCCCAACAAAATCAATAAAAGCAGGCCAACAAAAGACATATTGTAGCTAAATTTTCAAAATATAGTGATAAAGTAAAAAAAAGGTCCTAAAACCAGCAAGACAAAAGAAGTCCCTAACTTACAAAGGAAAACTAACTAATAAAGGTAGCAGCAGATCTCTCTATAGAGACTTGACTACCCAGAAGGGAGTGGCATGATACGTACGAAGTGCTGGATGGGAAAAATCTTCAGCCAAGAATACTCTATCCAACTATGCTCTCATTTAGAATAGAGGAGAGATAGAGTTTCCCAGAAAATAAAAACTGAAGGAGTTTGTGACCACTAAACCAGCCCTGCAAGAAATAGTAAAGGGGACTCTTTGAGTGCTAAAAAAGGACCAAAAGCAACAAAGGCTAGAAAGGAACAGAAAATTTCCAGAAACTGTGACAAATCAAGAAATAAAATAGCACTAAATACATATCTATCAATAACTACTCTGAATGTAAATGGACTAAATGCTCCAAACAAAAGACACAGGTGTCAGAATGGATAAAAAGAAAAAGCAAGACCCATCTATATGCTGCCTAGAAGAGACTTATTTTAGACCTAGAGACACCTGAAAATTCAAAGTGAGGGGATGGAGAAACATATATCATGCAAATGAACATCAAAAGAAAGCCAGAGTAGCAATACTTATATTAGACAAAGTAGATTTTATTTTATTTTTTTAAATATTTTATTTATTTATTTGAGAGAGAGAATGAGATAGAGAGAGCATGAAAGGGGGGAGGGTCAGAGGGAGAAGCAAACTCCCTGCTCAGCAGGGAGCCCAATGCGGGACTTGATCCTGGGACTCCAGGATCATGACCTGAGCCAAAGGCAGTCACTTACCAACTGAGCCACTCAGGCACCCTAGACAAAGTAGATATTTTTTAATTTTAATTTATTTGTTAGATTTTATATAATGTGTGCTTTAAATTGAAGGTAGGATAATTAGAGTTACCTCAATTATCAATTCTCAATTATCTGAAGAATCATTTAATTCTTACAACTCTGTGAGACTGATTTTCCCCCTCTACTCTATAGTTGAGGCTTAACAAGGTTAAGTAATTTGTCTCAGGTCACCTAGTAAAAAATTACAGAGTATGGACTGGAACCAGGTATGCTTATGATTTCCAAGGCCCCAAGCCAGTGAGAATCCCAAAATTACATAGTGCAACAGAGGAAGAACCTTGTTATTGGTTCCTAATAAACTGTTTTGATCATATACCAATAATACTAACTCACTGTAGAAAAACAGATAAGCCAAAATAAATTGTTAATGTTTTGTGACATACTACCAGAGCAATACTTTTTAAAAAATCCCCTGGTTTTAGCAAGTAAAATTTCATTAAATAGTTTCAGCATACCTCTGATTAAGGATTACAATTCATGTTAACAGCAAACATACTTGTGACATGAAAAGAGTTAACAGTGAATTTCTTCCTTAGATGTTAAGAAATGATACCATTATGAAGGCTTCAAAAGAAAAACTTTCTCATAGATGAACTTTAAATTCCATATTTTTCTACCAGCTCTTTTGCTTTAGAAATATAGGCACTCGGGCGCCTGGGTGGCTCAGTCGTTAAGCCTCTGCCTTCAGCTCAGGTCATGATCCCAGGGTCCTGGGATCAGGTCCCACATCGGGCTCCCTGCTTGGTGGGAGGTCTGCTTCTCCCTCTCCCACTGCCCCTGCTTGTGTTCCTGCTCTCACTGTCTCTCTCTGTCAAATAAATAAATAAAATCTTAAAAAAAAAAAAAAGAAAAAAAAAGAAATATAGGCACTCAGGGCATCTTCCTTCAACCGCCCTTTTTGGAGGTTCCATGCTTCCCATTTAGCCTTGCCTTTTAAATCTAACATTCCTGGACACTCAATATTAATGTCTCCAAATACAGATTGTTTGTAGAGCCCATAGAGTTCGTTCAATTCTTCATCATCTAGTCTTGTTTTCAGCTTCCTCACATCTTCTGCTATCCTATCAAAATCAGCCTGCAAAGAAGACATGGTGACAGCACTCAGCTACTGCTGCACTCCTGAGGCGCCGGTCCCTGACAAAGTAGATTTTAAACCAAAGACTGTAACAAGAGATGAAAAAGGGTACCATATAATAATAAAGGGGACTATCCAACAAGAAGATCTAACAATTATAAATATTTATGCCCCCAATTTGGGAGCACCCAAATACATAAACAACTCATAACAAACATAAACTCATTGATAATAATACAGTAATAGTAGGAGACTTTAACACCCTACTTACATCAATGGACAGATTATCTAAGCAGAAAATCAACAAGGAAACAATGGCTTTGAATGACACACTGGATCAGATGGACTTAACCAATATATTCAGAACATTTCATCCTAAAGCAGAAGAATGCACATTCTTTTCAAGTGTGTATGGGACATTCTCCAGAATATATCACATACATTAATAAAAGAAAGGATAAAAATCATATGATCCTTTCAGTAGATGCAGGAAAAGGGTTTGACAAAGTAAAACATCCATTCATTATAAAAACCCTCAACGAAGTAGGGATAGATGGAACATACCTCAACATATGAAAGACCATATATGAAAAACCCACAGCTAATATCATCCTCAATGGGGAAAAACTAAGAGCTTTTCCTCTAAAGTCAGGAAAAAGACAGGGATGTACACTCTTATGACTTGTTTAACATAGCACTGAAGTCCCATCCTCAGCAATCACACAACAAAAAGAAATAAAAGGCATCTGAATTGGCAAAGAAGAGGTTAAACTTTCACTCTTTGCAGATGACATGATACTCTATGTCAGTCAGAGAAAGACAAATACCATAGGATTTCACTCATATGTGGAATTTAAGAAACAATCCAACCTAATAACTCCCTCAATCCTACCGTAAGTCACTGAGATTGGCTATCTCACCATAAATATTAATATTGGTACAACTATAAATTTATGGATTCCAATCACAGATGAGCTCTCAGCAAAGCCGGTTAATTTGTTCAAGTGTCCCTGGGAAGATCTTTCTTCCATTCCCCACATGATCTATTCTTTGCAGTTCTCTACTCATTTCAGAGAATAGAAATCATCACAATTCTCTGTTCATCTCAGAAAATAGATGTCTTCAGGCAAAAACTGCAATTTCCTGTTTCTGACCTGCAAACTTATCTGTATCTATGTATAACCTTATTTCTTTTTTTTAATTTATTTTTTAAATTTTATTATGTTGTGTTAGTCACCATACAATATATCATTAGTTTTTGATGTGGTGATCCACAATTCATTGTTTTCGTATAACACCCAGTGTTCCATGCAGTACGTGCCCTCCTTAACACCCATCACCAGGCTAACCCATCCCCCCTCCCCCCTCCCCTCTAAAACCCTGTTTGTTTCTCAGAGTCCATAGT